GGGGGGGGGATTTCATTGCAGCTTCATAATGTGCATGGGATGACTGATTTATTTCATTGCGTACTAAATGTAATAATTTCCTCTGTCACTGCTGCCCCTCATTGTAAGATCTGTGGAGTGCAAAGAGTGACTATGATCACCTTTTTATTTATTGTTGAACATGCAAAACAAACAGACCAATCAGTGATATTCTAGACCTGACGTGTCCTTAAAATACCAAAGCCTGTGTTGACATTTCAGAATGTGAAGCCCCTCTGCGCTGAGGTTTTAAATATTAAAGCTATTGATATATTTGGCATAAGGAACCATGGTCTAGACATTTACTGATATGCTACCACGTTATCATTTTCTGAGCAAAAGTATGTTTGGTTTATGCTAATATATAAATGATCCCTAGAACATATTCGCAAATGTGTTCCTTTGCTGTTCTCAGATAGGAGTTAAGTGTGCTAGAGTCTCACAAGATGTTCATTTGATCTCCTTCTTTTATTTAACAGACTCACCATTTGTCTTAACCTCAGTATTGTATGAGACATTGCTCTAATGTGCAGAGCATTGTCTCTCTGATGTTGTTATGGTAACCACATTTCTCTCCATCCTTGTTTTTCTTTCCTAACCTGAATTCTTCCAGTCCAACTGCAGATTGAAGACCAGACTCGTAAACTGCGTACAGGAGACCTGGGAATCCCTGTTAACCCTGAGGACAGGTCGGAAAAAGTTTAAACCCATGAACAGTAACATTTTCTCTACCTTCTTGACTTTTTGGAAAATAGATGTTGATTTTCAGTATATCTATCTATCTATCTATCTATCTATCTATCTATCTATCTATCTATCTATCTATCTATCTATCTATCTATCTATCTATCTATCTATCTATCTATCTATCTATCTATATATGTGGTCCTTAGCCTAAATCTCAGATCTCATAGTAGTATTAGATTGCAGATGTATAGTCACAGAGCCTAAACATATAGGATAATTAATAAATATAGGTGTATGCATTTTTTTGCTAAAAAATAATGAGACCATGTTTGCAATTACATCAAAATGAAACTCAATCTATTACATTTTTTTTCTTCAATTTATCAAATTTAGTGAACACTTTAATTTAATTAAACTTTTGATTAAGAAATATGAACTCTTAATGATTGGCTAAAGTGCAAACTTATATGAATCTCAATATCAATATTTTTGCTCAATCGACTGCAGAAACTAAAGTAACTTCCACTTTGAGTTTTTCAATTGAAACTCGTTTTCTTGAACTGAAGTAAAAAGAACCATCATTTTCTACATTTATTTTTTAGTCAAACCCATTTTTAAGAATAAACTGTTTCATTATGATGTAATAAAAAAACATAGTTTCAATCTTGGATTAAACACAATCGATTTAATAAAAAAAATTGTATTGTAATGAATAAGGGAGCTAGGGGGTATGAATGCTCTGGCAACCCACCGAATATAGGTCAATTATAAATTGAGATTTATTTTAACTTCTTAGTAGAACCAATACAATGTGAATATTTACAAATTTTTAGTGGATTATTTCTCATTTAACTTGACAGTTTTGTCTGCTTCCTAGTTAGCCTTCTAGTATTTAATCAACATGTTTTCACCCTCTGCTTGTTTTATGTGTCTGATGTAGAATGCTGTGTGAATATATGAATAATAATTCATAATGTTTAAAGATTTTCCTCTGAAACAGGTTTGGGTCAAAACACCTTACTCTTTACAAAAACATTTTTTTTTTTATTGATTATACCGTTTACATCATTTTTACCTTCAAAGTCTGATATTCAGCTCAGATGAATTGGCTTTGTGGCTCTCACACAAATACTATCAATTGATATTGCCTTTTCCGTTTTTTTACTTACTGGATATTATATAACTTTTTGCAAGTGGTAATTGAACTCATGGCCTGTAGCGTACATGATAATATATCATTAATTAATAGTGTTTGGATTCAATTGAACTAATTGTATGTAGCTGGTCATCTGTGTTTTTCCCGTAATGTGGTTTTAAACATTTCCACCCAGGGGGTAGAGGGGCATGTTCCAGTTTTCCCTCTGGACTCTTTAGGTCTGGAAGAAAACTGCAAAAGCAGAGGCCCGCTTATAACATAGTTTCCATAAGGATCTGATCCCGCAGGATGTGGCTTTGGCTCTGAAGAGTGTGTGAAGTTGACTTTTTGTTAGCTAGAGTCCCTGCCTTCTGTTCACTTTGTAGAGTTTCTCTTCATAATCAGACATTTCCACAGCAAGCAAAAAGCTGATTGCAGAGCTGCCGCTCTCTTATAAACCATTCCCCAAACGTATGTGACAGAACCAACTGGGGGTGTTTCAGGTTGTCACTGTTGGAAGTTTGAAGCATTTAAAAGGAAAACCAATATTTTTTTTCTCACTCTTCACATCACATGGACACAAATGTGGCTCTCTGATGGGAGAGCATAGGAAAAGGGGGATATCTAATCTTAATTCCTTTTCTCTAACCCAAATTACCCCACATCAACCTAACCCTTTTTCAAGCACAGAGCCTCCTTAACGCAGCAACACAGGTTTTCAGCATCCAAGGGGAGGTACGGACCTCTTCCGCCACGCCAACACCGAGCAACTCCCAAAGCCATCGTTTCTGTTTAGGATTGCACATTTTGCTTTGGTTTCTTTTTCTTACATCCCAACTTTCCTTTCTTGTAAGCCAACACTCCTGTACACAGGTTTAGTTATGGCCATGTCATTGTTTTTCTTTGTGGTTGAGGCCCCCCCGGTATACTGGGTTAAATACCACTATACATCTTTGGTTGCCCCTTTTTACCCTGAATTGTATAAAAGAATGGACTCTAGCCTTTAAAAATGTCAGTGCGGAGTTCCTACATAGTTTTCGTTTTTGAGTTTGCTCTTGCACTGGCCATGAGTCACGTAGTCTTTCTGAGAATTCTCTCAGTAGATCCAAAATTCCAATGTTTTTGAATTCATCATAGTTTTATAATTGTCAGTACCCATTGATCCAAAGTTCCTAATGAAGATTTGAGTTTTAGTTAGCTGTAGCGAGCCTTTGATTGTTAATAGCAGAACTCCACTTCTAGAAAGGTATTGATGATGTCTTTCTTGTCTTTTGTCTGCCATTTTCAGGTCTCCCTCTCCAGAGCCTATCTACAACAGCGAGGGCAAGCGGTTAAACACACGCGAGTATCGCACACGGAAGAAGATTGAAGAGGAGCGTCACTCTCTCATCACTGAGATGGTTGGCCTCAACCCAGACTTCAAACCTCCTGCAGATTATAAGTAGGTTTTTTTAGCTATACACACAGTCTGTGTTAATGTGAATAACATATTAAAAGGCACATGTTTTGAGTGTCTGGTGCAGTTGACTCTGCTAACAATTAGTCCACGCACCTTTTTAAAATGATGACGGTAATAATCAGAAGTAGGCTTGGGCGGTATGACGGTATTACGGTATACCAGGGTATTTCGAAATCCCGTCGGTATGATTTTCAATACCGTGACGTCACAGACTGTGCCAAATCACAGATGCGTTTCATTGTATTACATTGACACGGAGTTTTGACAGGGACGACATTGGTTGTAATGCACAGCACGCGCCAGCAGAGGGCAGGGGAGGGCAGTCCGTCTTTCCCGCTCTCAGAGCTCAGCACAGAGCTGAGCTGAGCAAGATGGCGGCAGCATTTGCCGGCCCCGAACTCGGACAACTAGTAAAAAAGAAAAATGCCTCTGCGCCTGTTTGGGACTATTTTGGGTTTACTCGTCGCCAGTGACTTCATCCAGCACAACGAGAGACAGAGGCACTTCTTTGGGAATGTTTAAGACGGGGTGAGTGAGTGTTGACATTTTTTAATCCTATGCAACTGGTTGATGGTTTTGTAGTCGAGGTCGGACGGTTTTAAAAACGAAAGCATTTATTTGCTAAACATTCACGCGAGTAATCCAATGAATCAAATGGAAATAAGGTTTTTAACACATGCACGGAATAATATTGCCAAACTAGTTAGTGAATATAGCAAACTTTATTCAATAAGTCAAGTATTTACTCCCGGAAAATGTTTATGTATGATGATATATTGTTAACTTAGCTCACAATGGAAACAACGTCGGACATCTACAAAAGCGTCCTGTATCCGATCTCAAAATGTGCCATTTGCACAATGTGTCATGTATGCAGCCCTTGTTTTGCACTTGCGCGCACGTCGCGGCACTTTGCGAGCGTCTACCGGCTCGGGCTGCATTTTACACCGAACATATAATATACCGTTCGAAACATCTATTTGCCGCCGAACGCCACCTTGCTCAAGTCGACCCAAGTCATACCGTCATATACTGTATGCCACGGTATGATGTCAGCAAGGTATGACGGTATGAAAAAAATGATACCGCCCAAGCCTAATCAGAAGCCTCAAATTCAACTCTTGTCTGCACACTTGTGTAGACAAGTGTGCTTGAAAAGAAATGTGATCTTAACAGCATGTAACATGTATGCACTATTCCCTTTTTTTGCCACTGTTCTCTTAGAAATGGTTTATTTCGTATTTTCTTCCTGCAGACCTCCAGCCACTAGAGTCAACGACAAAGTGATGATTCCCCAAGATGAATACCCTGAAATCAACTTTGTTGGTCTACTTATCGGGCCACGGTAAGTTACTCTTAATATTATTATCATGTTGGGTTATTTGACATTGTCTATGAACAAGTAAGTTAACAGCCAGCATAGTTAGAAGTTACCTTTTCTTTGTCTGTGTTTCCAGTGGTAATACATTGAAAAACATTGAGAAGGAGTGCTGCGCCAAGATCATGATCCGGGGAAAAGGCTCTGTGAAGGAGGGGAAGGTCGGCCGAAAGGACGGGCAGATGCTGCCAGGAGAAGATGAGCCTCTGCACGCCCTGGTCACCGCCAACACAATGGAGAACGTCAAGAAAGCTGTGGAGCAGGTCAGATTTAAACTGTATTGATGAGTCATACTCTATTGGAAGTTTCATATATGGAAAGCTCTTGGGTGACCTTTATAGTGTTGTGCAGGGACACACTCTTTTTTGGGCCAAGATGGAAGTTAGTGTAGTTCCCCTCGACAAAAATCTAATGAGATTAACTCCTTTCATTGGTTAAGGACTAATTCCTGCACAAGCCCCCAGGACGTCATCTAGGCTTGAAGTATATTTTCTTAGTGGCCAAACAGTTACACAATAAAACCTTTGTGACTTTACTTTAATAGACCCAAAAAATGATATGATAATAAATGTGTGTCCACAGATACGCAACATTCTGAAACAAGGTATTGAGACGCCTGAGGATCAGAACGACCTACGGAAGATGCAGCTGAGGGAGCTGGCCAGACTCAACGGCACACTGAGGGAAGACGACAACAGGTCACTGCAACAAGCAAGACAGTGGTGGAGCTTTATGCACACTATGGGCCCTGGTTAAGGAACATTTGTGAAAAGTGTATTATTCTGAATTTAGCTATAGTGCCTCACTGAAGACGGAATGTGTTCTTCTATAGGATCCTCCGTCCTTGGCAGAACTCGGAGCCTCGCAGCATCACCAACACCACCCTCTGTACCAAGTGTGGTGGAGCAGGCCACATCTCCTCTGACTGCAAGTACACCAGGTGAGGATCAGTTCAGCAATTCAAGGAAACGGAATGTCCAATTTCTCTATGTGGTTTTTAGAACTTTTTTGTAACAAGGTTTGCTTTGTGTAGCTCATTTGCTGCCCACAGAGCGACAGGTGGAGAGCCTCCCCAGTCAGCGCAGGATAAGGCTCGTATGGACAAGGAGTATCTGTCCCTGATGGCTGAGCTAGGAGAGGCCCCGGTCCCCTCATCAGGTGGAGGACACTCCAACAACCATGGAGGAGGGCCTCGGTCCTCAGGGCAGAACAACAACCAGCCACCACCGGTGAGTTGGCAACACATATGGTTCCAAAGTCCTGTTTCTCCAGAACAGTGTCTAAACCTGCTGTGTTTGTTTACAGCAGAACCGGCCTCCCTGGATGAACTCCGGTCCGTCGGAAAACAGGAACTACCACGGCATGCATGGTGGTCACGGAGGTCATGGAGGTCATGGTGGCCATGGTGGCCATGGAGGACTCCAACACTACCCTCCACCAATGCCCAGCATGGGAGGCCCCCCAATGCCCCCAAACCCCAACGGCATGCCTCCCCCCTGGATGCAGCCTCCCCCGCCTCCCATGGGCCAGAGTCACGGACATCCCATGGGTAAGAGTGGACCTTTCCGTCTGATAAATGCTAAAGACCTGGAGGACATTATCCAACATCTGAAATCCTCCTCCTGTAGCCTCGACATTATCCCGACAGGATTTTTCAAAACTGTTTTTCCTTGCTTGGCTTCAGATATACAGGACTGTCTCAGAAAATTAGAATATTGTGATAAAGTTCTTTATTTTCTGTAATGCAATTAAAAAAACAAAAATGTCATACATTCTGGATTCATTACAAATCAACTGAAATATTGCAAGCCTTTTATTATTTTAATATTGCTGATTATGGCATACAGCTTAAGAAAACTCAAATATCCTATCTCTAAATATTAGAATATCATGAAAAAGTATACTAGTAGGGTGTTCAACGAATCACTTGAATCGTCTAATTAACTCGAAACACCTGCAAGGGTTTCCTGAGCCTTGAAAAACACTCAGCTTGGTTCAGTAAACTAAATCACAAGTATGGGGAAGACTGCTGATCTGACTGCTGTCCAGAGGACCGTCAGTGACACCCTCCATCAGGAGGGTAAGACACAAAAAGAAATTTCTCAAAGAGCAAGCTGTTCACAGAGTGCAGTTTCAAAGCACATCCACAAAAAGTCTGTTGGAAGGGGGAAATGTGGCAGGAAACGCTGCACAACCAA